GCGGCAGCCTCTGCCGGAGCCACCTCGACTCTTCACCCTCCTCGTCCGCATCTCTGGCGCCCCCACCCCTGGGATGCACCTGTCCCTCCCTGGTGTCAGCAGCTAGGCTGGCATTCTGCCTGAGCTGGGCAGGCATGGGGTGGGGTTCATGAGGCACTGAGGCTCCTGGGAGGTGCAGGCTCCATGGGGGGCATGGGGGCATGGGGCCCGACCCGTGGGGTTTGCCATGTCCTGTCCAGGGCCACAAGGTACCCAGAGTTGCCCTGGCTCCTGTGTCTCTCGGCTGCTACTAACCTGTCGGGGCTGGAGGAACCGGTGTGGCTGCTGGTCTGAGGTCTCCTGAGGACATAGAGAAGCATTTGTGACAGTGGGGTACATAGTGCCCAGTCTCTCACCCCCTTCTGAGATTCTGTGATTCTGAGTGCAAGCTACGGACATCATGATAGAATCTGGGGTAAGGGTAGGGGGCCTTAGGGATCATCTCTGTCATTCTTCCTTAGGCAAATGGGCAGAGGAGGCCCATGGGTCATGATGAGAGAGCGATAGTAATTCTCCCTGCTATAGCCTAGATGAGGTGGATCCATTTGAGATGCACCAGCTCCCTTATTCAATTAATTTGAGATGTGGGATCTGAGCAGAAATTTGCCAGCTTGTCCTGGATTTGCCTCTAGATTGTCATACATCAGATCTACTTTGTTCTGGATCTGGATATCAGTGTGAAAAGCTACTATCAGGAAAAACTAAGCCCTTGGGAGTATTTGTACATTTCAAAAGGAAAAATGAGCATAACCAGTAACAAATGAATGGGCTCACACATGACCTGTGGGAGTCACACCCCGGCCAGCCTGGGCTGGTGGGCCCCAGCTATGGCGTCCCCCCCAGCAGGTTGGGGTCGAGTGCCCCCCACCCCTCGCTGTCCTGTGTAGGTGCTTGGGAGGCACCCCCCACGCCATCCAACAGGGGATCCCTACAAGGCCTGTTTAGGGTTTTGGGTCTTGGTGTGATTGGTGCTGGACTGACAGATTGTAAAATTTCTCCCAATCCTGAAGTTTGGCTATTCGGTTCTCTCCTTTCACCCTTGACATAGCTGAGGGATTCTCAGGTTAGAGAATTTGCTGTCTCCAAAGTTGACTTAATCCATGCACCATATATATTGTTAATTCTCATTCTTTCATCTTATGTTCAAGATATCAAAGAAACTGCCACAAGCTTTGGGGAGTCAAAATCTGTTCACTCAAGGACAGTGTGGGGACACCCACACTGGTGCATGGGGTGGTCTGTGGGGCTTAGAGTCTGATTCACCATAATTCACACCTGCTGTGCTGCTGCTACAGGACTGGAAACGCCAAATAATTGACTTAGGCTCTTTCTTCTCACTTGCAAGCTGGAAATGTTCTCTCCCTCTTTCTTTATCCTCCCCACATCCCCTCCCTTGTACACACATGATGACTTTTTCCCACCTCTGAGCTTTCTGGACTTGGCTTGATTACCTTGTGTCACCAAGGCCTCCCACACCACAGTTCCATCTTTCATATTCTGAATTTGCAGACGGATCCTTGACTCCAACTGTCCAACGTAGATCTCACTGAAGACCTGGGACTCCCTGGGGCTCCGATAGCAGAGCTCCAGCTCCTGAGAAGAGAAAGAGCAGGTGTGAGAAGTCACTCACCTGCAGGGGTGTCACTCTGACACCTCCTGATCTCTCGCAGGCCCCAGGGACACTCAGGTGACATGTCTTGGAACGAGTTCCCAGCCTCAGACCCCTTTCTACTGCCTCAGCGTCTGCTCTGCCCTCCTGAGCCCACCACTTCCTAACATCCAGGGTCATTTTGGTGAGGGGCTGTGTGTCCTTGCTTGAGATCCTGCAAGAGCTTGTCTTTCCTGAGAACCTCACACAAGACACGTCAGGGCCCACAGAGGTGGGTGCCGGGCACCTGCGCCCCTTGTCTCCCTGTCACTCACGACACTCGGTGGCCTTTTTGTCATCTGCGAGCTCATCTACCTCCCACCTCTACCCCTGGGCACCAGGATGGCTCTGTTAACGCTGTCTGAGGGCCCGAACCTCTGTTAGCCTCCAGTGTCAACTCAAGTCTGAGCCTCCCCGAGTATCCCGTAGACGTGGTCCAGTGTGACGTGTTGTGCTGTCCTTTCATCAGACTTGGCCATTTTCTCTTTTCTCATTTCCATAGGTCCCCTCAGGGTGTCAGGTGCTCGTGGGCAGAGACTGGCCTATCTGGGTGATGGAGCCTCCTTGTCCACCACAGCACAGCGGCACCAGGCCTGTGTTGTCAGCTGGGCCAGGCCTCCCGGCTGGGAGCTGCTGACACAGCTGAGCATCCAGATATCACCTGCGCTCATGACCAGCTGAGCACAGGCCTCACCTGTGGACACGTCACGTGACTGTCTCTGAGGCGGTCACAGCTTTATCTCTGCTGTGCTCGCCCTGCCGACCGTGGGTGGAGGCTCCAGTCACCGCGCTGCCCCCGCCTCTGAGACGCCTCTCTAGAGCAAACCTCCATTGCCTAGGACCTTCTCTCAATAATCACACAAGGCCAAACTCTGTAATAGTTTCTGTCTGACCCTTGGACTTGGAGGCACCATGCTCCATGTCCTCTTGCAGCAACGAGTTTAATACACAGGTTTAATACACAGGAGTTTTTCTGTGGTGATGGCTGAGGGCCCCCTTATAGCCTGGTGCCTCACAGTGGCTCCAAGTCAGAACCCAGCATTGCCTCTGTCCTGCATGTCCCCACCATGACTTTCTTCACCCTCAGTATCTCAAGATCCCCTCCATGTCCCACTCACTGTCAGCCTAACCCTAATGCACACTGTCCCTGGGGAGCTCTGCGACCTGCCCCACATGTGTTTCCAAGCATGACCTCTGCTCCTAGTGAGGGGGGAAGGTGGGTGCTTACCTGGGGGATGATCTCTATCACCTCTGAACCAGACACGGTGAAGCAGGAGCCCAGGTAGAGTGGGGTCATTGGAGGAGGCTTGCGTATTCTCACATACTGGGACTCCTTTTCTTCTTCATCTATGGCCTAAGAGGCAAACAGAACAATGGTCAAGAGAAGAAGGGCTTCTGGGTATGAGGTTCTATCCATTCTTCTCAATTGGTCTGGGGGAAGAGAGAAGGTAATTCTTGGTGTGTGTGTGTGTGTGTGTGTGTGTGTGTGTGTGTGTAAGTGTCCATACCACCGACACTCCATCCCAGCGCATAGAGAGCCCATAGCCCACATAGAACTTTGCGCTCTCTGTGTGCAGGGTGGGGCAAGTCATTGTGGAGATGGGAGAGCGTGGGACAAAGGGGTAGCCCTGGGCACGGAGCCCTCCCATCTTATGACACCCAGAAGGGTTGCCCAGAGTTCAGGGATGGAGCACCAACCCCATCTGGGGAGACCTTAGGGGTCAGGACACCAGTGCATGGCTGAGCAGGATGACCCACCCATTCCAGGCTCCTACTTGTGAGTGACCCACTCTTATACCCAGTGGGCCCAATGTAGGTGCTCTCTGGGAGCCCCGGAGTCAGCAGCATGACCTGGCCCTTCTGGTCTGAGTCTCACCTTCTGAATGGAGCAGTCATTGGGGACCAGGTAGAGGTGGAAGTTGATTTCACTAGGACGGAGGTGATGGTAGAGCATCACGGTGGAGATGATGGGAATGATTTTCCTGGTAACTGGGAATATTCTCAGTAGGACTCCCATGGGGGAGAAACTGGGGTTCTCCAGGCTGTGTAACACGCCTCCACCCTGGCTGGCTCCTCCAGCAGCGTCCCCTCCTCTTTGAAGTGGGCCACGTGGAACTGGGAGGGGTCCACGTGGTCTCCTATCAAGGCAAGGGTGTGAGAGGTGAGGATTTGGTGCCCTCCCTGATGCAGGCTTGGCAAAGGAGGGTGTCCCAGCATGCAGGCCTCTGTTTGGGACATCGGGTAGGCAGCTTGCCTGGAACTGGGGTCTTTGGGAGCTGAGCGCAACCCCACCCCTTGGGTAGAGCAGCACAAGAAATCCCTGGAGAGACAGTCACGCCTGGGATAAAAGTTACTGTGCTGGGGCATTCTGTGTCGTGGGGATTCTGCATGATGCTGCTAGTTTCACTCCTGACAGGTGGAAGAAGGAGGACATGAGGACATTCGGGAAATGGAACAACCCAGGGCTGTGTATATTTGTGAAGTGTTTGGTAACCACTAAAACCCACATTTCAAACTCCTGTTTTGGGGAAAGAACCCCTCATTTGCCCTCTGCCATTTTGTGGTTCCTGGCAGGAAAGGAGTTGCCTCTCCCCCTGGGAAGCTGACCTCCTTGCATGTGTGATGCAGGTACGTGACTCCTTGATAAGTGGATGCTCCTAACCAGGACTTTGAGGGGTGAAGTGAGGATGAGAAGGCAGAGGTGGTTTTGGCAGCAGCAGTGGGGTTGGGAATTTGTCCCCCATGGGAGGACAATCTGCAGAGCTCTTCCTGCAGTAGAGATCTGTGGCAGTTTCTTGGGCTGATTTTGCCCCTGTTCTTGGTTCTCATCGTTTCTTACCATTAAGGCCACAGGCTTCCATTATAAACTTGTCTAATCTTTTGTTAAGTTGCAGACTAGCTAATAATCACTCTATGCATTCTTTTCTGTCTAAATCAACCAGAATTGATTTGATTGCAAAAACTCTAAACAGGTGAGGACAGGAAGTCACAGAGCGATCTCTTTGGCCAAAATTGTCATTTCAATTTCTCTCTTTCTTTTATCTCCTCTCTTGCCAAACATTATTAGTGTTGCTTTATCAGTCTATGTTTAGCCGTATTTACCCATCTATATCTGAGAGTCTTTGCTAGAGACTCTGTCTTGCAGCTCTTACCTTCCCTGTGGGCTCTTCTTTTCCTTGAGATCATTCTTTAGAATTTTCTTCAGTTAGGGTTCATTTTTGTGAAAGATGTCTTGTTTTAAAATATCTCTTTTCCATCTTTCTTATTCTTTAAAAAATTTTATTTATTTATGAATATGGAAATGGGGTACAGCCAGAGGTGCAGGGGCGGCGAAAGCAGAACAGGCAGAGCCACAAAGCACACTGCTGAGGGGAGCAGTGGATGAGACAGGAGAGGTCTGCCGCGCCATGTGGGTCACCTCCGAGGTGGGGTTTAAACTCACAGAGGTGACCAGAGCTTGGCTTAGGTTGGCTTAGTTTCAATATAGTGATCTCTCTGTCGTACTTTTTTATTTTCTTCTCATTCTAACAAGTCACATCATTTTGTAACTCCAGAAATTTCCTTGAAAATTACTTCTTTTCTGTTTTTCCTTATATATTTCTGTAATTCTCAATCAATGTTTTAGGGAATTTTATGATGCCCTGCACAATATTTCATTTTTTGACCATTTGTCAGATTTTCTGTCAATTTAAGTTTTTTCAAAACTTCACTTATCAGTTATATTGCTTCTTGCTCATATTTTAAAGTCAATTTCTTTAAGCATTTGCTATGCTTATTGTATGTCATGTTCTAAGAATTTCAGTGTCTAAAATCTTTATGGGACTGATTGCAGTCCCTAGAATTTCTACCAGTTCTACTCTGGCATCTTATTTATTGAGCAAGAAATGTTTAACTCTGAGCATATGCTTCTTGGAATTGTGTAAGTAGGAAGTCTTTGTAGGTGGGAGAGTTAGGATAACTATCTTACCCTTTTAGCACTTCTATCAGAATAGCCCTCTTTCATGGCTCCAGGCCTCAATTGTATTCTGGTGACACTGTTTCTCTCCCAGTCTGCAGGAGTAGTAATGACCTTCCATTGGCAGCTAGGCCCTGGGAACCCTAATTTAACTAGTTGTCTCACGTATCCATATCCATATTTCACAAATTATCTCGTCTTTGAAAATCTCTGCAAATATCTCAACTGAGTATTTCATGTTTTTCTGACAAACACAATATATAAAGACCAAACTAGGTATTATTTTTGTGAAGAATATTTCTACTTAGGAAAACTTCCAACTAATCATGGTGCTGGGAGACAAAAATGTTTCAAAAATGATAGGTCAGAGCAGTGTGGAAAGAGGAAACATCTGTCTCCACTTCCATTACCCCTTTCGCCCCTCTAAGGAAGCCACCAGCTGCTTCCCCAGGGCATCCCCATCAGAAGCCCCTTGCAGGCCCTTTGCACCCCCATCAGCGACCTCCACCCTCCCTCTGCCTACCTTGGAGGGACACGAAGTGAGGCAGGTACACAGCTGCCACAGCTCCTGGGTCCGCCTTGATGTCAAACAGTGGTCCTGCCACCATCCAGGTGTCCCGGGGGACAATCGTGTCCAGGAATGGGTCCCAGGCACAGAATTCAATCTCGACGGTCACTGCCCTTCTCACCACAAAGTGGAGACCCGTGTTGGGCCAGTGGTGGGAGCCGGCCGTGGGGAGGTGAGCTCTGGAAGGAGGAGGAGAGGTAGACCCTTACTCACTCTGCACAGATTCACGAGCCCCGCTGGCTGCCAGAACCCGCGAGGGCACAGAGATGCGGCAGAGGCCTGCCTGCGAGCAGAGGGGAGCGCGAGCCTGGGGTTCCTCTGCGCGGGACAGTGACTCCACGAGCAAGTCATCAACTTCTCTGCTCAGATTCCCATCTGTCATCAGGGACAACATGGCACCTCTCAGCACCTACTCAGTTGCGAGTAACGAGTGACAGAGGCTGGGGATGTCTTGTCTCTGCCTGGAGTGGCTGGCTGTTTTCCCATGATGGTAATGGGGACAAAACAGGAAAGTGATCTTGTTTTTAAGGGGATTATTTGCTAATAATAACAACCAGCATGCTAATGTCAATAATAAACATTTCAGGCTGAAAAAAAAAATTATTCAGTTTCTACATGGTGGGGCCCCAGGGTGTCAATTTCTGTAGGGTTACTTGGGAATGACCTTAACTCCCAGCTGAACGACAGTGCCACTGACTTGACATTTGCCAAGGGCAGTGTGTTTGTGAGAGACCTTGATGAGGACTGTAGAACTTATTATTCATGACTGGAGACCCTCTGGGGACAGGACTGTATTTTATCCACAGTATTTGCAGTGACTAGTGTGGTAGTGAGAAAGAGTTGATATTGATAAAACAGGAGCATATAATGAAAATCTATTAAATGAGCTTTAATAGCCGTAACAAACCAAAGAGAATGTGTGTGCTTTGGAGCCTGTTGAGCCTGTTGAACAATCACCTGCAGGACAAACTATAGACAACTTAGCACATTCAACTATATACTGACTGTCAGTTACATGAAGGCTTCTTGTAACCCTTGTAGGTTTGCAATCATGTTGTGTTTGGGTCAAAATAAAAAATCTTTATTTGTACTTTAAAAAGTGCATCACAAACCACCTGCTATCTTAAATCTAGAATCACGTGCAAGAACAAAAAAGGGGGAGGACAATTCAACACAAATTTGACAAATCACTGTAGATCAGAGTCCAGGCTATACTCTGGTTTGTTTAGAAATTTCTAGACAAAACTCTTTTTGCATAGTAAAAAATTAATCATTCAGTATCTCAACCTATTGATTTTCTGGGATTTGTTAGTGAAGAGAATTCTCTGGGACAGTGTGGGGTCCCAGTGCGGGGTCACAGAGGCCAGGCAGACACGGGAGCACCCTCACTCCCTCACTCACCGGTACTGGCTCCTTTCCTGGTCAACCACCTCGACAGCCGTATGTCCTGTGGGGCCCCACAACTCATCTGTGGTCGTCAGAGGCTCCATGTGGGGACCCCCCACAGGGGAGGGGGGAGACCGACAGATGGGTTCCACTCCAGCCACTTCCTGGGGGCTTCCTGCTGGAAGCAGCAGGGCGGTGGTCAGTCCTGGGACCTGCCCGCTGTCCCGTAGCCCCGACGCTGGAGCGGGGAGGCCCCACCCAACCCTGGTGGCTGCACAGGCAGGGGGTGCGGTGCAGACTCCACTCCAGCTCCCGGGGCGCCTGCTGAGGAACCCCGCCAGCGCCCTCTGACCCAGCCCTGCCCACTCTCCCCTTCCCCTGGGCCCCAGAGCCGACTCCTCAACATGCTCCAGGCTGGCGGCTTATACATGAATAAGGGGATAGGAAAGAGAATCCAAGACCTCATATCCAGAGTGGTCCTGGGGGGTCGGGTCCCAGGTGAGAGCCTGAGACGTGACAGGTGCTTAGGAGAGGAGCTTCTCCCAAGCTGGGGGAGATGGGAGCAGAAACCACCTGCTGGACGCACTGGATGATCTTGTGACGGGCAGGGCTCTCGAGGTGAGTGTCCTGTCCTGCCCCACGTGGAAAGGGGGTGGACCCACTGCTGCCCCCCTCCCATCTGGCCAGGCCCCCTCAGTCTACCTGGTTCTGGTGCCGGCTGCCCAAGGGAGGCAGTGTGATCACTCGTCTCTCCTCCTCTGGGGTCCTCATCAGGGGCCGTCACACTTGGATTCCTGGACAGAATCGTTCAGTCTCTGGGGTCTGGACAAACTGGACTGACTCCAACACCCCCACATCATTCACTCATCCACATTTGAGCCCCGCCTGTCTCCTGTCCTCCATGACTCTATGAATACCTCCCAAACGAACCCACCTATACTCACCAAAACTGGGGTGTCATCTGACTCCTCCCTCACACTCTTCTTGGTATCCCCTTCTCTCACCTGATGGCCTCCACCCTCGTCCTAGAGCCCGGCAGCTCTCGAGAACCCTTGCAGGGTTACTCGCTCTCTCCCTCTCAGTCCATTGTCCACACAGCCGCTGACCCTAGAGATGAGCCCGGCCCATGTCAAGACCGCTGAAGCCCTGAGCTATTTCTCCATTGTTTTGGGGTGATAATGAAGTTTTTACTATGAACCAAGGGACCTTACTGTGCTTCTGCTTCCCTCACCTGTGCTGTCTTCCTGCTCACCCACCTGTAGACGTAGTTGTCAGACTTGTTAAAAATCACCTGGGGGCTGGGAACCGAGAGCCCTTGGCCGCCCAAGGATCTGATCAGCAGGTCTGCAGTGGGGTCCAGAATTCACCTTCCTAGGTGCTCCCAGGGTTCCGGTGTCCACACAGGAGGTCAGGGAGCAGGCAGGTCTGCTCAGACCCTTGGCCGCAGGCCCCTCACAGGAGCTGAACCCTGAGCCTCTGCCTCTGTCTGGATCACCTTCTGGGCCCAACTCACCCTCCCGCTCACCCTCCCACTAACCTTCCCGCTCACCCTTCCGCCTCTCAGAACTCACAGGTCAGGACTCTAGACCCCAGATGCAGCCAGGCAGCCTGGGGGTTTGTCCTGTCTCTGGCTGGGCTGTGCTCCTGGGTCCAGCCCTTGTTCCCTGCTGGGCACCTCACACTCTGTGGGCCTCAGGGACTGATAGCTCTGGGATCTATTGATTCCTGGGATTCTGTGGTCCATTTTCAGCCCCTCAGCTAATGCCTAGAGCCAAATGTACCTGGTCCTGGGTGAAATGATGACACTAAACATACTTAGTTTGCCTGAGGAGGAAGATGGACTTCCTGCTTTTGCCTGCGAATGTGTGTCTGTCACAAGCATGTATTTGGGAAGTGAGATGAGTGAGATTTTCCTAAAGGTTTACTTATACATAATATATATATATATATATATATATATATATATATTTGTTATTTTTAATGCAGCACCATTGTTTTCCATCCTTGTTAGCTCTGACACGTCCACTTCCCCCATCACCTGTATCACCGTGGCTCCCCCACCACGGAGGAACCCAGACTCCCCAGCCACGGTCCATTGTGCTCCCCCCTCCTCCCCCGCTGACTTTGCACTTTCCTCCCCCTCCCCTCTGGAGGCCCCAAGGTTTTTTGTTTCCCTGTAGTGGTCACAGCTTTCCATATCCAAGGTCTGCCCCACTGATCACCTTCTACAGCTCCTTACTCACTTACTAGAAGTGTGTGAGGAGCAGTGAGAGATTCTATTGCCCTAAACAATCAGGCAAACAAACACTCAACAGCCCCCTCTCTGGCTGCAGTGGTTTCTCCCAGGCTCTGTTCCCCACCCCCTCACCCCCAAATGTCTCCCCATGTCCTGGGTCTGCACCAGTCTCCAGACTCAGCCCTGGCCCTGGGCCTCAGGAACGTGGCACCTGCCCCTTACCCACTGCCACAGATGTGCAGCTGAGGCTTCTCCTGCTCCAGGGCCCGCAGCATCTCTGTCACCTCTTCACTCAGCCGGGCCTGGTCCAGCCTGCAAGCATGAGGGAGATTTTCTGCCGGGACAGCATTTGGGACCTGGCCCAGTACCCTGGCAGGTGCCATCTCCACAGGGACCTGCCTCAGCCCAAAGCCCTGGGAACTGGGCCCTGAGGTGGACTGTGATGAGGATTATGGGGTGTTCCTGGGTCAGCACCACGGCAGGGCAGGAGGAAGCAGGATTGTGCAGAGGGAGAGCTGGGCTGCGTGGCGTCTCCATGGAGACCTCAGTGGACTGTCCAGGGTTGTGCAGGCAGGATAACCCTTCAGAGCTGCCCAATATGGGAAGAAGAGCTATTTCTACCCCAACACCTGTCAGTGTGTGGATGCAGTGTATCCTGGAGGAGAGACCCTCACTGACAGGGGCTGTCCTGGGCAGGCTGTCAGGGTGCTGCAGTGTCTGGTGTCAGGCTCCCGAGGGGACCCAGGGCCCCGTCTCACAGTGTCCACCACACAGCAGCCATTTCCCTGTGGTCTCTGTGTGGCCCCTGAGGGCCTTGGCAGCTCTCTGAGGGTGTGAAGCCCGGGGGTCCCACAGGAAGTGCCAGACACAAGGAGCCCCTGGACTTGTTTTCAGGAAGTGGAGAAAGAGGAAGGAATGAGAGCTGGTGTGGGGAGGGTGTCCCCACAGGACTCTCTCCTCTGAGCTGCTCCCCCGACTGGCAGGGCAGCAGGTCTCATTTGGAGCCACCCTCTGAGAAGCCCCCTGTGCCCCTCATCTGACTCCATCTCTCCACATGTTGCCCCCTCATGATTCACTGCATTTCCCTTCACAGCCTCGACGGAGCTGGAAACACTCTGTGCTCACACGCAGGTAATTCCTGTCCTGTGTCCACTGGGATGAGGTCAGGGGCGGGACCACATCAGCTCACACTGTGTCCTCAGTGTCTGCCCATGCTTGGCACATGGGGGCATTGATGGGAGGGGAGAGGGAGGCCAGAGTGCAAGGCCCATGCCTCGGTAGCTGGAGGAGAGGCGAGGAAGCCAGCTGGCCACACATGCAGCTGTGCCTTTCTCCCCTGTCCATGGCATCTGTCTCCCTTCCTCCTTCCCAGCCCCACCCCCTGCCCTGAAGGCCCAGGTCTTACCCCAGGAGCCTGAGCAGACAGGCAGGCTGCCTGAGCCAGTCACAGAGCAGCCTCAAGCCCAGGTCGCCCAGGTTGTTCTGCTGCAGGTGCAGCTCCCTCAGGTGGGTGTTGGTGCTGAGTGTGGAGACCAGGGCCTGGCAGCTGCTGGAGGTGAGGCCGCAGCAGACCAGCCTGTGAGGAGATTCAGAGGGCACAGCCATTATACTGAGGGGCCTCTTCTTGGGGATAGTGGGGACTGCTTTGGGAGTTCTGAGGTGACACTAAGGGAAGACAGAGACGTGCCTGGCGATAGTGAGCACATTCCAATTCTCCTCCTGCAGCCCGGGCCACTCAGGGTGGCTGAGTACCAGGAATTCAGCCCGCTCACCCTACCAACCTTGTGGGTAATATGTGTACCCAGTGATCCACTTGTATGTCTGGGTCTCTATTAGCTACACCTGCCCAAATGCCCAGAACCACTGACATGGGACTTTGGGGGCTTTGACCAAAGAGCATCTATGATAGAAGAGGAAAAAGTGTGAACTTCTAACGTAAGAGCCAACATTGGGGGATGGTGTGGAGATTATGTTTACACTGAGGACCTTCATGGCTCCCATGGGATATGTTCCTTTTCCAATTTTTTTTTGGAAGTGTTTGAGAATTGGTGTTATTTCCACTGTGTGGGTTTAACACAATTTACTTATCCATCCACTCCCTGAAGGACATTTGGTTGCTTCCATAGTTCAACAATTATGAATAGAGCTGCTATAAGCATCCATGTGCAGCTATTTACAATAGTTAAGATTTGGAAACAACCTAAATGCACAAAAACAGATGACTGGATCAAGAAGATATGGTTTATACTATTCAGCAATCAAAAATATAAACTCATGTCCACCTGCAGCTATATGCTTGGACTAGAAGGAATTATGCTCAATGAAATAAATCAGAAGAAAAAAGGAAAATATTGGATGGTTTTACTTATGAGAAGTATATGGAGAAATAAATAAGGGATAAGGAAAATGGCTGACAAAAGTATTAAAAAAACTATAAATTACAGACATTTATCAGGGGAGGGGGAGGGAGAAGGGATTAAAACAGGTGGGAAGAGCATAAGAGACTAAGGTGTGCTAGTGATGGGAATTTTATGGAAACTACCCCTGAGAGTTGAAATCAAGCATGCAAAAAACGAAAATGATGTAAACACACACACACACACACACACACTCACATACTAAACAAAAATCCACATACAGGTATTTGTGTGACTAGGTCTCAACCTCAGGGCATCTGACTACGGGATTTTCTGGTTAGGATATATTGAGTGCTGTAAGAAACCGACTCCCCCCCAAAGTCCTGTGCCATTTTGCATTCCCACCAGCAATGGATGAGAATTGAAATTGCTCCACAGATTCACCAGCAGTTGGAGTTGTCTGTGTCCTGGAGTTTGGCCATTCTAACAGGAGAGCAGAGGCCACCCGTGCTCCTCATGAATACCGGCTTTTCCCTCTAACACTGCCCTAACGATCTAATGAGGGGGGTGCTGTGCTTTTGTTTTTATTCATCTAAAAGTAATTTCTAGTTCCCTTTGTAATTCCTTCTTTGCAACAGCTGGTTATTTAGGAGTGTATTGTTCAATATCCGCATATTTATGTATTTTCCAAATTTCCTTCTGTTACTGATTTCTAAATTTGCCCCATCATGGTCAGAGAAAGTACTTTGTATGGCTTCACTTCTTCAAACTTTGTTGAGAATTGTTTTAGGAGAGAATTTTATCTTTGCACAAGGTTTTATTTGATACTTGCTTGCCTCTCCTCTTTCAGAATGTTCCATCTCAGGGAATGTGACACTACCCCAAGAGTTCCACTGGTCACCTGAGTTCACCCTCCCTCTCGCTTTCTACTAAACCGAATCTCTTATTGGGACAGGCTGGTTTTACTTTTACAGACTCTCACATCCATCCACCTTTTTCCGTCTCCATTGTCAACACTATGCCTTAGAGAAACAGAGTTTAAGCTACCACCATCTTTAGATGTTCCACTGAAACCTTGGCTGTATTCTTAGCCTGGTTTCTTGATCGATGTTAGTCTCTTGCAAACTCTGTGATGAAGGAGTCTTGTCTACATGGGTTTGCCCAGCAGCATGGCACCCAACAGAGCACACAGTGAGAAAGAGGCTCAACTAATATTTGTTGACTCCAAAGACCAACCACCCCACCCTACACTCAGCTTCCTTCTTGGAACTCCTGCCCACCTGTGTCAGAGCAGAACCCAGGCTGACTCACCGCAGGGTCTCCAGACGGCAGCGGGGGCATCTGAGGGCCTCACAAAGACTCTGCACTGCAGAGCTGCTCAGGAAGTTTCCACTGAGGTCCAGCTCCATTAGGTTCTCAATGATCCCAGAAATGGAGAAGAGAATCCGCCAGCAGTTATCTGTGATTGGATACGACATGTACCTGAGGGAGGGAAAGTGGGACAGGAGAGACATGAGGCTGCCAATGTTTTCTTTGGGGACATCAACCTTTGCCAGCTCTCCTGGGGCCATCTCTGTGTTCAGCAGACCTCTCCTGTCTTGTCCACTGCTCCCCTCAGCAGTGTATTTCAGTCAATCTGTCTGTTCTGTTCCTCAATTGTCTGTAGTCAATCCTCTCATACCCCGTGCTTCTAGCCTGTAACCCTGTACTTTTGTGCATAAATAAATAAGTAAATAAATAAATCTTTTTTAAAAAAAGAATGATATCTGCCCCAGCCCTCAGGAAGTCCCAGACGAAGGCAGAGACAGACACAAAAATGAACATTTCAGTACAGCATGGCAAGGACTGTAGAATGCACCACAGAGGAGTGGTGCATGGTTTGGGGCATTCAGGGAGGCCGGTCAGCCCTGGGGTAGCACTGCCCATTGAATCCTGAAAGAACCCACTGCACTGACAGGGTTTCAGGGTTAATGTTGTAAACATACCCAAACCCTCAATATTTAAATTTCTTATTCATTTATTAGGCTCATGATATTTAAATTGTAATTTTTAAGTCTGTATTCAAATAGTTGTCTGTTAGCATTACTAGAGGCAATAAAGAAAAAAAAATGATCATTTAAAAACACAGCGTTAATTACAAGCCAAAAGTCCTGAAGCAGCTGACCCTCACCTCTCAGGCAGGTCCCGCTCCCCCACCCAGAGCCTGGGTCAGTCTCCATCACCCTCCTGGACTTGGGTGTGTTTGCAGCAGCCCCCTCGCCATTCCCTCTCTTTGCCTGATTGACGCTGTGTCTTGAAATCTCCCTCCACAACAGTAGAAGCTCTTGATTCCCCCCAGAGGCTCTCCAGAACCAGAGTCACTGTCCTTTGTGGACTCTCTTATTCTGACCCATTTTCTCTTGCTTCTCGCCTGGGTCTGGCTCGAAGCCCCCTCAAGGCCCTTATGCAGGCCCCATGTCAGCACCACCACTGACAACACCAACACCCACAGCCTTCTCGAAGACCCAGTCACATTCACAGCCAGGAACCCCCTACCTACAACCTCGACACCCCAAGGAGAGGATGGTCACCTCTCATGCACCTTCCTGATGGACCCACGTGCCAGTGCCGAAGGACATTATATCTGGCTATTTCACAACACAGGAAGGCAATGCTGATGTCAATGCAATGGAGATAAAGCTGACTGTAAGGTAGTGTGGCCTCATCATAGAAATGTGCATAGAAAAGCAGCAGAGGACACACCTCCAGGCTGACGGTCACCTGTAGTGCTTCCATTCTGCTTGACATTAGTTTCCGCCACTGTGCTTATTACACTCAACAGTGAAACAACAGGTTTCATGATGAGGGAAATATACGAAAATAAAAGTTGCAAATCCAACATTTTTTGGTCATAGACTCTCCTTGCTGGGTGCATTTGAGTGATCGCTGCTTCCACTGGCCTTGTCACTACTGCAGTGGTCTCTCAAGTGTTTGTCCTCATTATTAAGTGTCTGTGTCCTCCAGTATTGAGTTCCTTGAGAATGGAGGTTGTGCTTTATTAGTCTGTATTGGTACAACTGACATAAAGTCATTATTAATAAGTGTTATGAAAGGATCCTGGAGATAGATATAGCATCAAGTGATCCACATTGTAAAATAGGTGGGGGCCCTGGAAGAGGGCCACCCACCTTGTTCCTGGGGTTGGAGTGTGCCCCATCATGCTGAGAAGGTGATTTGGGGCCTGAGCCCCAGAGGCAATAGTGTACCATTGACACAAACAAGGAAAGCAGGTTTCTAGGAGAACACACCCCCTTCAGGCCCACAGATCCTGGGGTGGTGGGCAGATCTCAGGGTGGTGACTTTGCTAACAGCCATCAGGGGGATGACTGTATCTGTTGAGAGAACAGCTTCTCAGGGAGAAATCAGTGGAGAGAGAGAGAGGCAATTGGGCTGCCTGAGGGTATGGGGGATCTCGGGTTTGCAGGGGCTGCAAGTGCACCCGGGGGAGAAGTGGGGTCATCGCAGGATGAGCAGTAGCAGCAGGAAGAGGCAGAGTCACAGCAGTTCTGTCCAGGAGCAGGCAGGGCAGGCCACAGGCTGCAGAGGCCTGAGTGACAGAGAATGGGGGTCGGATTTGGCAGGTAGAGATCAGGACCTTGGCCCTTCAACACCCGGGGACAGGCTTGGGGGCATTCTTCTCCTGCCCAGGTTGGTAGAGGCAATGAGATGTGGAGAGAGGAAGAGTGGGGTACTTACAGGACCATAGTGGGGTGTTTCCACGCTTGTTTTTCTTGCCCACCCTCATTCAGTTGAAGCCGCTGCACATGGGGGCAGAATTTAATACAGAAAGTGAACACCAGGAACTCCACTTCGTTTTCAACACACATGCTTGTTCCTTGGAAATGGACCATTACTTGTGTCAGGAAATCTTTGTCCTGAATCTCATACAAACAGCGGAGCAACTGTAAGGAATATGGCTGGTGGGAGAAATATTGTTGCTGGACCTCTTCCTGGGTCCATTTCAGGAGTTCCTGCCTCCTCTCCCCTGAGAGTGGGCAGCCAAAGATGCTCTCCATCTCTCTCACCCCCTGCTCACCCAGAAGGCCAAATACAAATTGCGTGGTTGGTGCTCCGAAGACATCATGCCTGCAGTATTTTAGTAGCGCCTCTCTTATACCTAAAGAGCTTTCAGGGTCACCACTTTCCTCCTTACTACAGCCCAGCACACAGGACATGGCGGCCAGGAACTGCTGGAGACACAGGTGAGTGAAGTTGTAGCTCTGATGGATGGGGAGATCTTGGGGATTGACCATCGGCAAGAGAGCGGAGACGATGGAGCCCTCCACACCATGCTTCTTGAGGTCTTCCACAGTGAAGAGGGTCTTTCTGTGCTGGATGCCCTCAGCAGCCAGAGAGCACAGGCCCCTCAGCTGCGTCCCGAGGGTCTGAGTGGGCAGAGCCTGGGACAAGTACTGCAGACACAGGGCCGTGGTGGTCTGGAGAGTCAGCGAGAGCTCTCGCCCCTGCTCCATCTGCTGCCTCAGGCAGGTGCAGGCCAGCCAGGATACCCAGGGCAGCTGACACAGGGCCCAGAGCACATGGTTTGACTCCACCAAGCTCAGGGCTCTGCTTGCTTGGCCTTCGTCTGTGAAGTATTTGCAGAAATATTCCCTCCTTCCAGACTCAGAGAGCCCCAGCACCTCCACCCATTGTGGGTGCTTCAAAGACGGAATGAATTTCTCTAGAGCGCTGGTTCTAGCGGTGATCAGCAAGGATGCACTGGGAAACATGGTTTTCCTCAGCAACTGGCTCAGAATTGAGCATAAAGGCTGCTTCAGGCTCCACTGCAGATGGGTGTCACCCTTTTGCTTCTCTAAGTCCCATTCTGGCTCATCAAGGCCATCGAGGATGAAGAGCAGCTGCTCTGACTGAGACATCTGGCCAATGGAAGCCCCAGGGGCAACCCCATATTCTACGATGAACTTAGTGAAACTCATTGTCTGTGATGGGTTCAGTTCCCTGCAGTTGAAGTAGAAGACGTGCCAGAAGCGGTCCCTGTACAGCTGGCCTTCCAGCCAGGCTCTCCTCAGCTGCCTGGCCAGGGTGGACTTCCCGACTCCAGCATCCCCGTGCAGTATGACTGTGTGAGGGTACTCTTGGGCACCCTGTAGAAGGTCAAATAAATCCCCGATGTTAACTGTGTATCCTTGTTCCTGTACCACCTCACGTTGACACCTTCTCTTGTGGCTTCTGGGGTAAGGTCTGTGTTTAAGTACCAGATGTTCATAAAACAAACCTTCATTTTCCCATGACTGTAGGGTGCAGCTTGTCTTTGCCCTTCTTTTCTGAGATGCTATTGTTTTTCCTAAGTAAGGATGGAAAGATGAAACATGAAGGTCTCAATTTGTTTATTTATTCCCATATTCATTCATTCACAAGTTTTAGACACCCTCAACAAGCCCAGGCTGCCAAGGCTGGCAGAATTTTTCAGAACAGTTGACAGAACATGGGCTTTGGGCCTGCTCTCTTGACCAGCTCATACTCCCTGAGTGACTTCAAGTATTAATCAAGACAACACTTAGGACTGAATACATAGTGATCACACAATTCTCTGTTCTCATAAGTCCATGTGTTGAGCCATTGGCCTCACTGAGCTCAGTAGACTGGGGGTTGGTACATCTCCTGAAGGAGGTTATGGGGGAGTCAGGGGACAATGGATGGTGTAGCAGTGATGCTGGGGTAGCAGTGATACCTCCTCAGCACCTACCAGGAAAGCGTATCAGCATGTCCCTCTGCAAGTCCCTATGTGTCTGCTGTGGGCTCCCTCAGCTCTCAGGTGTGACCATCTCAAGGGCTGGGGAGTTAATGCTTCAGTAGGAGCCCTTGACCAATGACTGTGCAGACCTTGGCCCCAGGACGAAGGTTCTGAGGCACATTATCACTAGAGACCCAACAGTGAACCTCAGATGTCACAGAGGAACCTGCTCCATCTGAGGTCACATGGGCCTTTCTGCTTGCCTGGTACTTCTCTCTCCTGCTGGAGCCTGCATGCAATCTCAACCCCTATAAATCTTGCACTCAAATCCTGTGTCATAGTCAGCTTCTGCGGGACCCCCTGAGACAGACTGGGAACGGCTTTGTGAACTGTGGGGGCCTGAGCTCAAGTCAGGGACTGTTCCCAGTAGGGACTCAGGTTCAGAGCTGGTCAGGTTCCCTATAGAATAATTGTTACTGTCCTTTCCTTTTCTCCCTTCTCTCCCTAGCTAATTTTTTATGACAATGCTTAAGACCCACTTGTGATTTTGAATCACAGCTCTTCTTGGGAAATCTGCTAAATGTCTAGGTTCAAGGTCACTTGTTCTGCCTTTGTGTACATACTGATGAAAATCTGGGGGAGCATGTGAAGTGTAGAGTCATTTTGCATTTAGCATTGTTCACAGTAGATTGTCATGTCTCTGACATCATAGTCTATGGGTCCATTGTTATGTCTCTTCTGTGAACACCTCTGATGTGACATGTTCTAAGAGCACCAGAATTTCTACCTGGGACATGACAACAGGGACCCCATCTGGAGCCCGGTGTGTGCCTGAGGGACCAGAAAAGTTTATTTATTTATTTTTATAATGTTCTCCAAAACATGCTGTGTTTACATGACACATACATTAATACTGTTGATTTACTTGTATTTAAAAAGTCCTCCCTGTATTTCCAATACCTCTGATAACTTCACTTTAATATGCTTTTGGAATGGACTTAAAAAACCCATGAAAATCCAGCTGGCCACTAATACCTAAGACTAGTTTACATTTAAAAAAATTTTTTTTAAAGATTTATTTATTTATTCATATAGAGCTGGGGTATAGGCCAGAGATGCAGAGGGTGAGAGGATTCACCAGAGACAGAACGGGGAGCAGAACGGGCAGATCGACGAAGTACACTGCTAAGGGGAGCAGCGGGCGGGTCAGGAGAGGTCTGCCAGGCCATGTGGTCACTTCCGGGGCAGGCGGGGATCGAACTCATGCGGAAGTGGCTTTAGCTTCTCAGTGCTGCGCTTTAACCCACTGCACCACCAGGGAGGGCCCCTACTTTACATTTTTACATAAAATTCAAGTGTTTTATGTCTGTAATACAGTTTCTTTGTAATACAGCCTACCTATTTGTCTATGAATTGTCTATAGCTGACCTCAGGTATTTGCAACAGAGATGATGTGGTCCACAAGGCAAACTCTCTGGAGATGCCTAGCAACAATGAAAGGTAGAGGCTACTGGCATCAGCCATGGAACTAGCGGCATCACAGTCCCTGGAGCTTTGCAGCCTTTGACACTGAGCCTCTTCATAGCCCCTAGGACAGTTGTGAATTCCACATACCATGACAGAAGACCCCATGTCGTTCATTGGTGTGGACTTCAGTGGTTTATGCTGCAATCGGACTTCAGCAGTTTGCTACTGAAGCAGCCAGCAGCAATCACCACAGTGGGCTCCCTCAGGAGGGAGAAGCTGGTACACACTGCCCACAGTGACTTCCTTTGTATTGGTCTGCCATCAGAGCTGACAGCCTTCCCACAAGTCTGTCACTAGGTGGGCCCCAGAACTCTGGGTGTTCCACGTGTGCCTATGCTTTTGACCCCATTTCAGTCTTCACTTGTTTGCCCTCACACACAGAGACCAGTAACATCACTGCTATGAGGATACCTGGGAGCGGGACATAGTTCTTTTTGGTCCTGTGAAACAAAGGGAACTCAAAAGTTCTCCAATAGCCCTGGTCATTGAGAAACATGCTATCTTTGCTGACACTGACCTCATCTGATGTGTAACTTAAGGGTGAGTCTGTGAGGCCGCAGCAGGCAGCAGACATCTCACCCAGGAACGGTGGTTCTGGGGTCCGGGGCTCTGTCTCAGAGCTTGTGTGTCCAGGGGCTTCGAGACCCACGGAAGCCACTGCCGGCCCCGCCCCAGTCGGGCCTGACCCCCAGGAGAGGACACCCAGACAGACACCGCTGGACAGACGTCCTCACTGGGCCCAGGAGAGGCGCACCCTGTCCTGCTCTGCCTCTGCCCCCGCAAGTCTCGGCCCCCCTGAGCCTGCTCCCCGGGGCAGGAGGCGCCTGGCCCAGGGGCTGCTGGGAGTGACGAGGGCGGCAGGACGGCCGCGGCCGGGCCCGCGACTGAGGCTGACCGGGAGGAGAGCAGTGCGGGGGTTACCCCGTTATCTGTTTACACTCACACATCCCCAGAGGGGGTCCCGCTCCCCCACTTTACAGATGGACCCCAGGACAGAGTGGGAGCCAGGCAGGTGTCTGCGGGGAGCTGGACAGGGCCCCACCATCCCTCCCAGGCCCCCTCTGAGTGTCAGCCCCTCCTCTCTGGCCTCTGAGCAGCCCTGGGCACCGGGCACATGGGGTGCTGGGAAGGCACTGGCAGAGGAAGGTCCTGTGAGTGCTGCCTGCTGTGGTCGGGATCCCCCCTAGGGTGAGGTGGGCCCCAGTCACTGACTAGAGAAGGCTTAGGAGGGTTCAGGGTGGAGCCCAAGGGGGCAGAGGTCATGGGGGGAGCAGGAGACTGATTCAGGCAGAGGGCACCGAGTCTACTCACCTGACTCAGCAATCAAATCTTGTAGGATATGATTCGACAGTGTTTTCTGCAGGTCATCTAGAATCTTTTTTTTAGTTGATGAAAGATGTTCAGATATATTAGCCAGCAGCCGGGGCTGGGGCACATTGATTTCCTTAATCCTTTGGGTCAACAGCGAGCTCTGTTGCTCCTGGCCTTCACCGTCCTCATTTGCCTCAGCTGAGCCCTGGATGTTCACTGGGTGGGCAATGGGAAGGAGGAACAACATGATGGCAGGCAGGGAACGGCGGCCCCCCTCGGCCTCCCACCTCCCAACTCAAGACTCCACTGGGACATTCCTGCCTGGGTCACTCCTGTCCACACTCACCCACAGCCCAGCTCTCACAGCCCAGAGAACCTGCCCATAGATGGTGTTGGGGGAGGAAGCAGAGGGGATGGTAAGAAAAGCACAGAAAGGAGGAGCCCAGGGGGTGGGGACCCTGGAAAGGTCAGGAGACCGGGGGTCCCGGGGAGAAGGGGTGTCATTCAGGATCCCTGCTGGGTGGCAGGGTGAGGGGGTTGGGGTGACACCCACTGTTCTGTGTCCTCTGGGTCTTCCCCCTCCAGGACCTGGGCTCTGGGGTTCAGCCTTGAGCACTGATGCTGACAGGAGGTGGGGGTGCCAGAGGGTCCAGCTCAGAGTGTCCACCCAGGTCTCCTGAGAGCCAGCCTGGCCCTGAGACACCCCTGAGAAGAACTGGCCTCTAGCAGCAGACCAGGAAGTCACCACAGGAAACCACACTGGGGCGTGGCCAGGGGAGGGGAGTGGTCAGGGCCTGCTAAGGGCAGAGGTTCAGAACAGGGCACCCACATAAGCCACCTCCACAGGCAGAGCAGATGTTGGAATTGGGGCGCTCACTGTGCTGGGCTGAGCCATGGAGCATACAGGTGCAGGCGTCTTCAGGAGTGTACCCAGAACCCCTAAACTCATTAGGGCTGGGGTGCAGGCTCTCTAGGGTGGTGGCCATGGGGTGCCATGCAGCTCTCAAAGGAAATAGCAGGCCCAGAGGGCCACCCTTGATTTTCAGGGCTCCCTGAGCCCCACTGCAAATCCTGGGAACAATGAGGGGCACTGAGTCGTGTGCTCCAGGCCAGGCCTGCTTTGTGGGAACTCAAAATCAGAGAATCGACATTCTCACGTGAGCAGCCTGGGGATGGCAGGCTAAGAGTGACCCCTGCTCCTTTCCTGCTGGGGAGTCCTGTCTGCAGGTGCCTTGCTTGGCCTGGGCAGGAGGAAGCCAGGCCTGAGGGGCCGCAGCTCAGCACCTGCTTGGACACTGGCCCTTGAGAGGCTGAGTCACTGCCCGGGGCCTCCCTTTGCTCACCTGCTGAATGGGCCATCTCAGGCAGCCAAGAGGTTATGATCCAGCAAAAGCCCATGGAAACCTTTGAACATTTAATTGATGGCTGTTTCTATTTCTAAGGGACTATACGCCCTGGAGGGCATTCCCACAGTCAGGCTCACCAGGAGCCAGGAGTGCTGCCCTGAAGGAGGGGTGATGTCAGGAGTTTGAGCTTCCATGGGGACCCTACCTCTCCATGTGTAGAGAATTTACTCTGGAAAAGATTTGTTCTTTATCTGCTGACATCAGCTGTCAGGGACACAGCGGGGGCCCTACAGCTCAATTCAATACAACATGGACTCTCCAGAATCAGCTCAGGACCCAGCGGCTCAAAGGCTGTACCACAGGACAGCTCCCCACTTCAGGTGGCAGTTGCAAATGAGGTGCCTGATTGTCCGCCCTGTTTGTTCATCCTGCAGACAATTACGAAGTCCTCACGAGAACCAAATGTCAGGTTCTCAGGCCTCGTCTCCCAGCCAGGAATGGATCCAGGCTGCAGGGGCAGCGCTGACCCTGGCCACTCGACCACCATGGGTTGGTGTCTTATAAAACTGCAGGAGGAACTTCGCAGTGCTCAGGCCAGCTAGTGAGAAGAGGAAGATTTGTTTAGTGAAAGAAAAAGTTTATTGAGCAGAACAGAAACAGAAATAAAGTGGGGTTCCTAGGCCATTGGAACCAGGCCAGGGCAGAGCGAGGGAGCCTAAGTGGAGGGGTGCCTCAGGGAATATGCACCTTCTTCCCTCAGGATTCTAAAGCCCCACCGGTCTCTGGGCTTGGTTAGATCTCAGTGGTCTCACTCACTGTCCTAATGTCTCTGTGCCACAACTAGGTCTCTGTGTCCCAGCCCTTAGAGTCCTTTTTCTTTATTTGTCCTTATTCCAGAAGGTTCTGTTAACCCTAATCCTGGGGTGGCTCATTAATCCCCTTTGGAATTTGTTGCCCTTATTCTGGAGCCTTCCTTAGCTCTTCTGAAGTCCCTAAAGCTGCCCATTTATCCCTAACTTGCTTTAGGATTCACTCAACCCCACAGATCCTGTCAGGTTTGGTCCTTTCCTGGACTGACCCACAGGACACAGGAGCAGTCTCCTCACTGGTTACCAGGCAGGTTTCTGGCCCAGGACAGGCAAAGGGACATACACACAGGGTGGGAGTGGGGGTGCAGCGGCCGCTGAGCCCAGTCCAGTTGCCCCTTATAGCACCTCCATGTTTCACCAATGAGGAAACTCCAGCCTGAAAGGTTTTTTGTTTTTGGGTCTCACAGCATAGGCTGGATTGATGACGTCCTTGGCTTTAGTGAGGAGACTACTCTCAGCCTCTCTCCCTGGTGGCCTAGGTAAAACTTGCACTGTACAGCAATAGTGGAAATCTTTTGTTAAATATACTAGAATCTATCCAATTCCCCTCCTTTCTTCTTTTTCTTACCTCCCTAGGTGTGACATGAAGAAAATATCACTGAGTCCTTTCTGCCAAGATGTGCTTTAAACCTCCTATGAACTTTGGCAGGAATAACACACCGAAGTTATCATCTTCTCGATCCAACAATAGTCTGTAGTGCAAAGTATAGTCACCCCAATAAAGATTTAGCAACAAACAAACAACACCCCCCAACCTGCGGGTCTTAAGCAGGCTGCAGCCTCATTATCCGAGTGTGCTTATGTCATTGACCACAGGACATATTTGCCTGCCCAAGGGTCTCTTTGGCTTTTACCTGCACTCTGCTCATAATATTGAGTGATATTAGTCATTTGAATTTGAATTTGTGAAATTTACTTCCTCATTTGTATCTGAGTTCTTCCAGAACAACACTGGTTTCTTCCTCACGTGCAGAAATGACCCACTCTCAAACTCTGGCAGCACACAGCAAAGTCTGTGCAGGAGGATGAAATCATGAGCAACTTTTTGTTTTTGTTTTTTTTTGCTAAATCTTTATTGGGGTGACTATACTTTGCAAACTTACACAGATTGCAAGTGCAGTGCAACCAACTGCCTATAAGTTTTACTAAGATCCTTTCTTATTAATACTATGACATGTTGACTTTGTTTCTCTTTTGTTATTATCATTCTATTGTATTTTTAATTTTTTGCTGATTATTTGAGAATAAATTGCATGTCATGTCTTTTACCTTGTAGGACTTCGGTACTGTCTACTCAGTAAAGGACGTTTGCTCACATAGCTCTAACACAATCATCAGATTCAGTAAACTGCAAATCCACCAGGTCAACTGAATGTTAAATTCTGTTACACCGGCTTTCTTTCCTTGACAACATTCAGGCCACCAGGTGGCGATAGATGAACAGAAATGAGACTCCACAGGAAAGAGGATGCCTCAAAAGCTGGAAGATTCTGGGACCAAGAGGACACCTTCCTGTGAACCCAAGGGGGGCAGAGAGTGGGCTGGTTAAGGGAGAAGTTAGGGCATGAGGTCCCTGTTTAACTGTATTTAGGCCTCTGATGATGAACACTCAGAAAGGGAAGCAGACACCACTCAATGCTTGAGATTCCTGTCTCAGGAGGCCCTCGGGCTCCCCCTGGGATCTCTCCCATTCAGATCCCAGCACAAGGCCTTGAAGGAGGGGCACCTTCTCAGGAGGTGTGGGACAGAACAATGAGGCCCAGGCCTGCTGACAGGTTTTTCCCAGACCAGGGAGGCCTGTGGCTTCAGAAGTGAAGCCCACAGGAGATGCCACTTCTCTTTATGCCAGCCCGTCTACTCCCTGACCTGGGACTTCTTGGAGAGCACAGGTCATGTCTGTCTTTGGTGCTGTAGAAACAAGCAAGGTGGTGGACAAGGCCCAGGGGGTGACTTCATGGGGGCAGGAAATGTGTTCTGTGTAGCTCAGGCTCACAGCCCTGCTCCAGGCACAGAATGCTCAATGGAAGATGAGTGATTTCTGCTCGTGCAGGAATATGCAGATGATATGGGAAACGTAGCTCTCACTGCAAACTCTGCCCCCTGGTATCACTCATCTCTGAAGAGTGGAGACGAGTGTTCCTATTTCCTCTTTTACTCATAGTTGTTACTCCCATCTGGATAGATAAAGAGGCAGTTGTTGGTTCTTCTTTAATGCTTCTTGCTATCTCAGACCCTCATACAATGCAAGACTAGCCTAGAGACAGAGAAGGTTCAAACCAGGAGCAGAAGGTGCAGTGAATGTTCTGCTGCGTGTCTCAGATGTCAGTAGATGTGAAGTGGACACAGGAGCCAGTAGGTGGCTCTGGGAGTGACTTGGTGGAAATGACTCAGACCTAGGAGTTCTTGCTGTGTCGCGGGATCTCCTAAGTCAGCGTGCAAGGTGCATGGTCCCCAAGGCCAGGCACCTCCAGGAGGGCAGTGGCCAAGCACTGGGATACCCACACTCAAACCTGACATTGTCTGGGTTCCTCATTGCTTGAAATGTGCTCAGGCTGCAGAAGTCACCTATCTGTGGCCAGTACCCGAGTTTCCCTATCCCCTTTGCATCTGTCTCTCCCTACGTCACCTCCATTTCCTGCAGTTGCTCCTACCCTCCACCCCTCACTCCTCCTCATTTCTCTGGGTTGCTGTGGTACCCACCTCTGCATTTCTTCTCCCTCCCTCTCATCTTGCACCTCCCACCATTGTCCATGCAGGCAAGCAAAGGAGACTTTCTGGAACATGTGCCAACCAAACCTCTCTCGAGGGTCACCCCTTCCATTGTTAAGGGGAAGCCTGTCCTAAAGGAACTCTGCAGTCTTGTGGACTCCACCCCTACTCCAGCTTTCTGGACCCTACACCCTACTCCAGGGATTAGAAACTACAACTCCCAGCAGTACCAGGGAGAGAACTGCGAGGCCCCAAGGGCAGAGCTAGGCAGGAATTCTGGGACATTGGGGGA